CAGGACTAGAATTCATGATCTCCTGGTTTCCAGACTGGTGCCTTAACCACTAGACCAAACTGGCTCTCTAAAAACAATTATTCCAATAAATTATTTTGTTTCTGTAGATCACGCAGGCACCATTTCCACAGTTAAGGTATAGAACAGTCCAAAGACATCAAAATATGACTATATGTTTGAATGGTACTAACTGGAACAAAAGCAGTAACAGAAGCCATGTCATAAACAAGGGTGCGCTACCAGTTCAATGATTTTACAACTATTAATTAGTTGTAACATACATAAAAGAGAAAAATAGCCTGGTTGGAGCATTTGGGGAGAAGGTACTACCTGTGATGAGCTATGAGACAAATAAATATTCATCTCTTGGAGAATATCCATAAAGTACAATATCACATAACTACCTTGTCACAAATAGGACAATATTCTTGGATCCTCATTTCTTAATTTTATAAGCTGCTTTGATGCTCCTGTCTGAAACATATCCTACACACCTCCTTCCTGTAAGTATATGTAAATAACTGCTGATCTTAAACAACACAAGGCAAGTTTTCACAGTAGGTTGCCTTTATGGCTACAGAACATAGTCTGAATCGCTTTTACTCTCACAATATTTTTCTACCAAACATACATCTGCCTTCTACTCATTATGCTAGGCTTCCATAAAGGAGCACATATTCACCAAGGAGAAAAGAATCAGGCTGTTTTTACACAATTAACTAAGCTTTATTGTACTTTGCCTTAGCAAATCATTCTAAACCTAGGCTAAGGGAAGAGGTGAGAGCCTTGAGTTGTGCAAAATAAAAGAAGGATACAAAACTAACAATAAAGAAATAAATTGCTTTATTGTACTTTGCCTTAGCAAATCATTCTAAACCTAGGCTAAGGGAAGAGGTGAGAGCCTTGAGTTGTGCAAAATAAAAGAAGGATACAAAACTAACAATAAAGAAATAAATTGCTTTATTGTACTTTGCCTTAGCAAATCATTCTAAACCTAGGCTAAGGGAAGAGGTGAGAGCCTTGAGTTGTGCAAAATAAAAGAAGGATACAAAACTAACAATAAAGAAATAAATTGAGTTCGGGCTGGGTTCTGACAATACAGAAGCCATGGTTAGACCAGGTAAATTAAGATATATTTTCAGACTGTGATTAAGGTGGAAAACCTGAGCTTGTCCTTAGTTTACCTGGTCCAACCACGCTTCCTGTATTACCTAGGCTCCCAGCTAGCTTATGCAACATCTATCATTCAGGAAAACAAGGAAAGATAAAGGAGTAGTGAAAAGGTAGAACTGCTCCACTTAAATTTCACACTTGGTGTACATGGGGGACTTTTTAAAAACAAAAGGGCTGAGAAAAGGATTAGTTTTCCTCACTCTGTGCATGGCAACCCCATTTGAGCCACTGTACTCCGGCTTTCGTCTGTCTGCTTGAGAAAAGCCAGACTAGTCTCAAAAGTTGATGGAGTAACAGCCAGACAGATGGGGGCCAACAAACCATGACATGAAGTTGTTTGCCATACCATTAGGTTCAGCAACCTTGGGTAAATCTCTTATCTGTCAACAAGAGTAACATACTTAGGATTTGTAATAGAAACTACATCAGTTACAAATTCATCTGTACAGGTAGTCCTCACTTAACAACCGCGTGTTTAGCGATGGTTCGAAGTTACAACAGCCTCAGAAAAAGTGCTTTACGATTTGTACTCACACTTACAACTGTCGCAAACCATCGCACCACCCCCTGCAGTCACATTATGACTTGTGACCTTTTTTACAACAGTCGTTAAACAAATCACTTGGTCATTAAGCAAATTCCAGCAAAAAAAGTCCATTGGGGAAGCCGGATTCACTTACCCGTGTGAGTTGCTTAATGACCATCGTAAAAATAGTCATAAAATCAGGTCTGGTCATGTGGCAACTCACTTAATGACCGCCCCACTTAGCAACCAATTTTCCAATTCCTAATGTGGTTGTTAAGCAAGGACTATCTGTATGGAATCAGGATCTGCAATTAAAAAAAAAAGAAACTAAAACACCCTAAGTTAATACTGACTATACATGTGGCTCCACTTCAGGACAGTAATATATAAATGGATATAAACACAGTTGTACAGTAAAGGCAAGATTACAGTCTTGCATCAACTTACTTAGGAGCAAGCAACATTACATTCAATGGGACTTACTGCTGAGAAGACACAGACAGGCTTCTGCCCTTAGTGCATTTCTCTACCCACCTGTTACCTGAAATGCAGGACTTGACAATAACACTGACTTTGGTAAATAAAAAGAATTCTTTCCCACTCCATTTTTAAACTCTGGCAAATCATTAAGATCATTTAAAATTTCACCTGTTTTGTCTTTCAATATTTTGCAGTTCCCTGTGGTCCCTTTTCAGATGTTTGGTCAAAGATGTAAAGTATTCTTTCAGCAGATTTTGGAAAGGTTGTTGTTTCTCTGGGCTAATTATCTCACTGGGAGGAAAGCTCAAGTTAAATTTATCTGCCGCACTTTTAACCTTTCTTGGTACCAAACCAGCAATATCATCTCCACAATGCCGGCAGAAACTAATCACCACTGAAACGTGGGTATGAGATTCACGATCAGCATTAATAATGTTTTTTAGCTGTTCATAGATTAAAGATAAGCCTTCCTTATCTGTGAAAATCCCAACTATCGTCAATTCTGCAATGAACCGCAAGTCCGTTCTCAGTTTTGTAATGTTAGGCGTCTTCTCTTCTTTCCTTGCTTCAAAATGTTTCTTCCAGACTTGAAGCAGCGATGGAGCAAAGTCAGCATATCGCTGATGAAACAACGAACACAGATGCACAGCACAGTTTACATCAGATATTTTCAGTTTTGCTTCTACAATCGATGCAACGGCCTCTGCAATATACTTGCTTAAATTGAGGCCGTTGAAGTCATGGGACAAGGAGTCTCTCTGCTGCTCAGTGATAGTCTTTAATTTCTTAACAAAGGCAGTGTTCTTCTTGAGGCTTGAATCCAGCCTGCTAAAGAAGTTCTCTTCTGGACGGTTGTCTGAGGCATTCTGGTTTTTGCTTCGCAGTTCCTTTCTTGCCTGGTGGCGCTCCCAAGCTTCCTGGTGCAGTTGATGTGCTTCTTCTTTTTCTCTAAAAAGTACGTAAACAGGCAAAGTTATATTTTAAGTCAGGATTCAGCCCTAAGAAACCCTTCACTAAAGAGCAACAGGGTCACCAGGAGTGAGCAATACATTTGTTAACAAAAAATAATTTTAAATCACGCATTCATCAAAACTAAAAATGGCAGGCACTGTCTTGGAAAATCAACTGTTTATTCATACAGGAAGGAAGGCTTTTTCTAAGATGATCTCTAGTACAACATATATATTATCATTTAAAACTGAGCTGTCTCTTTAAAGATGTTTAACATATATACACTACCTTTTCAGATTGAATGGTGAAAAAAAAATTAATATTAAAATAGAATGTTTGAACAATGGGGGGGGTGCAGGAGAGAAGAAGATCTGTGCTTTCCTAAACATTTCTCCCAGCATCTTTCGCCCTTTCCTCCAAAAATACAGGCACCAGAAATACACAAAATCTTACTTCAGTTGAGCAGCTGCTTCTTCTTGCTGCTGCTTCATCTCTTCCTCTTGCTTCTTTTTCTCTTCCTCTTCAAGTTTTTGCTTTTCCTCTTCCTCCTTTCTCTTTTGTTCTTCTTCAGGTTTTATTTTCTCATCATCTTTTTTCTTCCATTCCTTGTCATCCTTTTTCCGCTTCTCCTCCTCTACTTTTTTCTTTTTATCTTCAGGTGGCTTTAACATATCTCTCTTCATGCCAAGCCTGACATCGTCCTTGGGTCTGTCCCGGCTGCTCACTGACCGCCTCTCACCAAACTCCTTTTCTTTGTTACTTAACGATGTTTCTTTTTCTTCCATGCTTGCTGACTTCTTACGCTCAGCTGGCATTATGTTATCCAGGAAGATCTGAAAGATTATTAGCATCAAAGTGTCATTACATTCAGCTTTCATTTGTTTTTCAAAACTACATCTACCAATACATTCCCATCCCCAGCCTCCAAAGCTACATGCTGTCAGATAGCTTTTCATATCCATAAACTGTATATTAATACACACACACATATATACATGCGTGCCTCTTTCAATCTGACACGCTGCAGGTGTGTTAAAAATTCCATTGAAATCCGACACATCAAGAGGGCAACTATGATTTTTTTTAAAAAAGTTGCTCAGAGTTGAAGTAAAGACTGAAATCTGCAAACACTGGCAAGAGCTTAAGCAAATGCGCTAGCACATTGTATTGTTCTCTGAAATAGATACAACATTCAACTCCTATATTTTATTTCAGGCCAAGAATAGAATGAATTATTTAACAGTAAGCAGTTAATAGAGAGGTAAAAGCTGCAAGTTCAATAAACACTTGTTTAAAAATTTTCAAAGATTTGAATTCCAAAACTCAAGCGTTTAAGCACACATTCACTATTCAGATAATGTAGACTTCATTAATTCCATTACAGTCAAAGGCCAACAACATAAATTGCAAGAAGTTAGACGTCCAAGCAGTATTACAACACAGCAGTACATTATAAATAATACAATACATAATAACATGGTAAGATAAAAGCAGCGAGCGATGATGTAGTACAGTTGGAGGCAGACCTGGATTACCAGTTTTGGTGGTGTCCGCTTATTTTTCCTGCACTACACAAGCCGCTGCACAAAATTTAGCTGCATTAGAGACAATAATAGCATGCAACATGTCTAAAAATGAAAAGTTTTTTTATTGTTTGCCTTCAAGTCAGACTTGACTCCTAGCAACTATATGGATGAGTCCACAGAGTTTTCCTGGCAGCATTTTCAGAAGTGGTTTGCCCTTGCTTTCTTCCCGGGGCTGACAGAGTGACCAACCCAAGGTCACCTAGCTGGCTTTCATGTCAACAGCAGAACTAGAACCAGAACTCCGGTTTCTCTTTTTTTAGTCCAGCAGATTAACCATTAGATCAAATTGGCTCAGGTTTTACTATAGACAGAATGGGCTTATTACACAGTACTGTACAGCACAACATGCTAAATTGTTTTTAAACACTGGCTGGCACACTTCTCAAAAATTGACCAAGTAAATCTGCCTTCCAGCAGAACAGATGGGAGAACATTAAATCAAGCTTGCAAGAAAGCTCTGCAATGATTAGGCAGTTCTAAGGTGGCAGGTTATTTAGCTGGCTGCAAAACTCAGATTCACCATCCAGGACCTAAGTCGTTAAAGGCTGAAGTTACTCATTTTACTGTTCAGCCCCATGGACACACTATTTAAGAAACACCCTATGTGTTCGGCTGTTGGTATCAGCTTAAATGAAAAGTAAAACTTTTTCCCAGCTCATTAGCAAGCTTTATTAAAATGAAAGTAGGAGTGTGCAAGTATTTTAGCAAATGAACTACTTTCCCTTCAGAACTAAAATATATCTGTGTACATAAGGGTAGGGACTTTCCAAGTCTTTTTCTCATAGGCTTCTGATGCGGAGTCAGTGGTCTTTTCGCAGATATGAAGGGATGGGGTTTACATCTGTGGGTTGTTTAAATAACAGTCACTTGAATCCTTATCAGTCTGAGAACCACCATTAAACTAAACTTGACTGTGGCCCACAAACTGCAAAAGCTCTGAGAGAGACAAGCAGTTTATCCAAGAGTCTTGTTTCAGGCCAAATGGAATTTATCAAGATTAAAGAAACAGACCTATTAGCCAGAAATTAAATATTACTGGCCAAACAGAGTCTCTATTTGAGGACTGTCTGTATGCCCATGCAACATCATTGCTATATGAGCTGCACTGGTTCCCAGTAGGCTTCCAGGTGCAATTCAAGATGCTGGTTGCCACCTTTAAAGCCCTACATGGCATGGTGCCAGGTTACTTGTGGGACCATCTATCTCTGGTGGTTTCTGCCCTTTCCAATATATCTGGCAGGGTGGGCATGCTTCAGGTCCCCTTGGTGCAAAAGTACCAAGTACCTGGTTTTGGTGGTCCTTCAGAAGTGTGCCTTCTGTGTCATGGCACCTGCCTTATGGAATAGCCTCCCCCAGAGATACAGATGGCTCTAGCTTTGTTGGTCTTCAGTAAAACCAGCTCTCCAAACCTCTCCAGATAAAGGAGAGGACCAGAGATTTCCCACAAGTGCTCCAGGCAGTTGCTCCTTGTGCGGAGACAGCAAGATAGTGGTCTCTAGCGGGTTTTGAGCACTGGGAGACAAGGGAATATCCATCTTGCTCAAGCCGCAGTTGGCACCTTTAAAGGACAATAAATTTGCATACTTCCTTTTCTAATCGCATTTGAAAATTGCTTATTAATTATTTTTCCGCTATTAGAAACCTTTGGAGTGACAAGTCTCAAAATACTGGGTGAGTCTGCCTTCAATCCTTAATGAAATAAAATTTTAACTACAAGCTTAAGAACTTTAAAAAAAAAATTAAAAACAGACAGCAAAAGGTTGATTAAAACTTTGATTTTAGAAAGCTACAAATGGACTAAGAGTCCAGATAAATTTGAAATAAGATTTTGAAATTAAGTAAAGAATCCTTTTCATGGGAAAGTGCGTTTGTTTTGAATTTTTTTAAAAAACAAATTTTTAAAAATTGGACACTAGAGGGAACTAAAGATTTCAATTAAAGCAAAAGAACACATAAACTTG